GTAAAGTTTCAATTTTTTTAATACAGATATCCAAGTGGTCCAGCATTATTAACTGAAAAGGACATTCTTTCCCCTGGGGAACTATAGTATTACCTTGTTATAAATCAAGTAACTAGATATTCATGGAGACCTTTCTGTGTTTTCTCTCTTTCTTCTGGTGGTTAATTTCTTTGTGTTTGTGCCAATACCACACTGTTTTAATTTGTGTAGCTTCATAACAGATCTTTATTTTTGGTAGTGTAAATCCTTCAAATTTTTGTTATTTAAGATTTTTTTACTGTGTTTGGCCCTTTGCCGTTTAATATAAATTAGGAATTATCACATCAATTTGCATGTGAATAGGTGCAAGTGCACAGATACACATTCACACAGAAACCTTTTGGGATTATGAGTGGGATTGCCATGAATCTGTGGATCTATTTCAGGAGAATTGACGTCTTTACAATATTGAATTTTCCAAGCCAGGAACAAGACATATCATTCCATTTATTTAGGTGATCTTTAATTGGTTTTAATAAGGCTTTTCAGTGTTTGGGTTGTAGTCATATACTTAATTTGTTAAATTTATCCCTAGGTATCAACTTCTTAAATGCTATTATAAATTGTGTTGTTTCAAAAGTTTATATTGTATAGTTATTTTTTCTAGGATATAACAATTGAGCTTGTATATATTGCTGTTGTGTATCCAGCAACTTGTTAAATTCATTTAATTCTATAATTTTGTCTTTAGATCCTTTAGTATTTTCTACAGAGTCATGTCATATGTGAAGAATGACCATTTCTTTCTAATCGTTATTTATTTTTTTGTGGGGAGGATGACGGGAGCATTTATTAAAATGGCTAGACCCTTGAATATAGTGTTAAATAGATATTATAATGGTAGGTATCCTTTTCTTGTTCCTCATCTCAGAGCCAAAGGTCTCAATATTTTACTGCTAAGTATGTTTGCTATATTTTTTGGTAACTTCTGTTACATAAAAGAAGTTCCCTTTTGTTCCTAGTTTACTAAAAGTTGTTGTTATGAATGTGCATTGAGTTTTCTATATCTATTGAGATGATTATAGGATATTTATTCTTTATTCTACTAATGTGATGAATTACATTAATTAATTTTCTAATGTTAAAGCCAGTCCTGGATTCTTGGTCATGATATTTAGCCTGATTTGATAAGCTAATATTTTGTTTGTTTTTGCATCTATGTTCATCTTGTGATTCTTCCACCAGGGTTTATCAAAGATATGCTAGCCTCATAAAAAGAGTTGAAATGTGTTTTTTTTTCCTTCTAAAGGTTTTTGGAGAAATTCACTGATAAAACCATCCTGACCAGGCTTTTTTTTTGTGGGAAGATTGTAATTATAGATTCAGTTTCTCAAAAAGATAGAATTCTTTTGGTATCCCATTTCTTCTTGTATCAGTTTTATACATTACATTTTTCCTGGAGTTTATTTCATTTAAATTTCAAATGCTTCAGTATGAAGTTGATCAGTTTTTTTCAGAGAACTAATCTTTGACTCTGTTAATTCTCTTGAATGCTAATTTCTGTTATGATATTTTCCTTGATGCATGGGTTACTTACAAATATAGTGATTAATTTCCAAGCATTAGGATCCCCTAGGTGTGTTTATTATTGATTGCCAGCTTAATTCCACTAAAGTGAGCATACTTCATATAGTACTTTTCAACCTATCTGTGATAGAGGACTTGTTTCTTTCCCCCAATCTCTGTTGGATTAGCAACTTTTAAAAAATATAATAAAAATGAATTTATTAGAAAATTGAAGTAAAAAGATATTTAAGAGCAAAGCCCCAGGGTTTTTTATTATTATTATTATTATTATTAGATTCTACAGATACACACTACTATATCAAATGGCTATATTTTCTAAACACTTATTCTCAATATCTAAACCTATCTAGTTGTGGTCCATTAACACCTGTGAAACAGCACTAGTGCATGGAACACACTTCCAAGTTGCACTGCTTGTTGCGATTTGAGTCTTCAAAGTTTGTTGAGACTTGCTTTATAACCTAGCACGTGGTCAACTTCAGTAAATGTTCCTCATGCAGTTTAAAAGAAGGCATATTCTATACTTGCAGCGTGGAGTGTTTTATGTATGTCACTTAGATTGTTTGTTCATCATGTTTTTTAACTATATTGAGATAGAATTTACATGCAATAAAATGTCTATTGATATGCACTGTTTGATGGATTTTGACAAATGTATACACCCATGTAACTGCTAATACAATTAAGACAGAACACTTTAAAACTCAAAAGGTTCCTTGGTGCCCCTTGCCATTGCCAGTTCCTAACCCCAACTGGGGCAATCATCATTCTACTTTCTGCCACTGTGGATCAGATTAGGTATGTCTTTTTTTTTTTTTTTTTTTGAGGGGGAAGGAGTCCCCGAGGGAGAGACAGAATCTTTTTTTTTTTTTTTAAGATTTATTTATTTATTTGACAGAGAGAGACACAGCGAGAGAGGGAACACAAGCAGGGGGAGTGGGAGAGGGAGAAGCAGGCTTCCTGTGGAGCAGGGAGCTCGATGCAGAGCTCGATCCCAGGACCCTGGGATCATGACCTGAGCTGAAGGCAGATGCTTAACTACTGAGCCACCCAGGCACCCCAGATGTGTTTGTATTTTATTTAGCTCTTCTGGTTAGTGTCAGTGGGATGGTTGATCTAAAACAATAGTTCATGGTAGCCAAAGGCAGAAGAGCTCTGGCAGTGTTTAGTTAAGGTACAGTGGTATAGCGATCAAGTGTGAGGGTGCGTGTTCTAACCAAATGGAATTCAGATGACTCTCCCAAGAAATTTGAGCAGGATTGAAAGATCCAAAAGTAAATTGTGTCCATTAAATATAGGATATGTATCCTACATTGTTATTATATCAGTCAAGATTCAGTACCAGAAACTGGATGTTCTAAACAGGAGAGCATTGAGTATAATGAATTAGTGGTTACAGATTGTTGGAAGGTCTGATGGAGTAAATTCTAGACTTGGCCTACAAAAATGACTCCCCAAATAATGATAGAGCTGCTCTGTCAGGGAGCTACTACCTCGTAGACTGTCACTAGAACTGTACAACTTCCAACAAGAAAGTCTTTCTATCACTTGAGCCTTCCAGATCTCACAAGATGGTGCCCTTCATGGTTAGATCCTAATTTTAATCAAACACTACTTGAAGAGAATATAGCAGTTGTAGTTTTCCAAGTTTTAGGAAGACAAAATGCGGGTAGAATGAGAGCCAGACCAAAGTTTCTACCATGCACATAAATCGGAAGTCCAGTGTTCCTCTAACTTAAAGAGGGTGAGTGGTAATTCAACAGTATTCTAAATAAATTGTCAGTTCTTTTTCTCTAGCTTTGCCATCAATAAATGTAATATTTAATGCAACTTTTAATCTTAAGTGCCTTTGTTTTTTTTCTATCTGCTAAATGATCATATTGTGGCCTATGATTTAAATACCCAGAGTGCATATAATCAATTACAGGTTATATTTGAGTTCAATTAATATTTTAATATTTGTTGAGGACTTAGAAAATGCCTCACATTACCTTGGTAGCTCTAAACATTCAAACATCTTACCAAGATTGACATTAACTAATTCTAAGATCATTTTCAAAGATAATCATGAAATCAATTTATTTCATAACCAAGGGCATATGGAAACTTTCATCCATTTCATTTGTAATTCCTACTGTATATTCAAGGTCACTCCATGATACATTCCATAAGTGGTTATAGCAATTCAGATCTTGATATGGAAATGTCAGTAGTATCCTCAAGGGCAAAAAGCAAAAAGCTAAATATAGCTTCCTCCAGCATTCCCCTTTCTACTACAACACCATGTTTGTTGATCTGTTTTCCCTGCTTTCTTCCTCTTATATAAAGTGAGTGGTATGATATTAATAAAAGGCTTGGATATTGTCTGGACAATTTACACACCAATGCTATCTAGATGTGTTTTGGTTTGTTGTAAGCTACTGAGGTCTTAGGAGGTTTTCAAAAGCCATAGATGGTTTGTACTCATGGGGAGAATAAAAAAATAAAAACAAACACAAAGAGACTGGTGAACCGTAGTTTGATTGTTAGCTCAAGTGTTAAGCAGTGAAAGTGTTCAGGACTAGAAGTTAGAAGGCATATAATGCTTAAATAGCTTTAATGTGACTGTTTGGGGCTAGTATTTTTGTATGTCAGATTCTGTTTGTGATTTATAATGATTCTGAATTTGAAATTCAGCTCCATTTCTTTCTCACTTGCTGTTTGCATTAGAAAGAATTCATTGCACAGAATTCTAAAAAAAGAACTGATGTAATTTTATTTTAGGGCACAGTGAGTCTAAGACTACTACTTAAGTATTCTAATTAGGATCATTTCAGAGAACAGGGAGCATTTCCTTTAATATTATTTTTATTATCATTTATTAGTTCATTCACGTATATTAATAAATATGATTTTTGTAACTGAATAGTACATAGTTGCATTTTCTAACATTTTTGTGCGTGTGTGTTTGGAAATGTAAGGTTTGATAGGACTCTGAAAGGTCCCTTGGACTGCTTTACCTCCTTCAGAAGGATACCCTCCTTCATAGTTGAATATTCTTCCCTTTACAGAAAAAAAAGTCTTGGAGTGAGATCATTATTTTATTTACCTAACCATCCACTTAATTTCAAAAAATTATCTGATCAAATATTTGAATGGCAATGTCTGACCAGTGAAATGTTTGAGTGTTTTTCAAATTATTCCTGATCATAGCTTTCTTTCATTATTTTTATCAGAGGTTATCTTTGATTGTTGGGTATCTGTAGTGCTTCACTAAAATTTAATTTATGCTGTTGTGATTTCTACTTAGCTTATATAATAATTTGTCAAGAGGATGAATGTGTGGGAAAATATCAGAGAATTCTAATTAAGAGTGTTTTTCTTTATTTGAGACTTTTAAAAATGTCAATAATGAAGTGTGTTTTAATCCATTTATTTTTTCTTTGTCCTCTCAGGTGGATCTCCTTACTTAGCAACCAAAATAAATGAAGCAAAAGACTTGCTAGAAGCAACCACGAAACATTGACTGATGCTTAAGAATCATTCTGAAGGAAAAAAAGGGGGAATATAAAACAAAAAAGTCCTGCAAAGTAGTCTAAACCACGGTGTTCATAATTTTCATACATGTACTGACCATAATCATTTATTCCACTATTAAGGTATATAATAATAAAAGATTAACAATCTATCTTTTATTATCCTTTTTTTTTTTTTTTAAGATTTTATTTATTAGAGAGAGAGCACAAGCAGGAGGAGCCCGGCAGAGGAAGAGGGAGAAGCAGGCTCCCCACTGAGCAGGGCGCCTGATGCGGGGCTCGATCCCAGGACCCTGAGATCCTGACCTGAGCTGAAGGCAGATGCTTAACCAACTGAGACACCCAGACGCCCCTATCTTTTTATTATCTTTAAAGGAACACCTTAAAATTCTATAACTGATCTTCTTTCTTTATTTTCTTTCTTTCTCTGTGATAGTCATACATTTTAAGTTTTTGTTCCATTAGTCCTAAGTTCCCCCAGCTCCCTGCCCTCACTCAAGTATCATCATCAGTAATGTGGGAATTATGAGCAATAAGTAGAAATTTTCTTACTGCTGATACTTATATTCACATTGTCCCTTGTTTCCTTAGAGGACTTAAGTACTCTGCCTTTGTAAGGTTTTGAGATCAAACACTGCCATCCCATAAGAAAGTGATCGGAAACGCAATCAAAATTACTAAATGGTGTTTTGTAAAATAGTGGTTAGGACTTGTTCAAGAACTGTGTTCTGTCTGAGACCCTATAACTGAAGCATGAGAACTTGGAGAGCTACTAAAATGATTAAAGATTTGCAAAATGAACCCTGTGAGGAAAGGCTGAAAAAGAGGTAGAAGAAGTCTGAGGAATTTGTCTTTAATTATAGCCTTCCAGTACTGTATATTTATTCAATTATTCATTCTGCAAATATTTATTGACTACCTCTAATGTATAAGGCGCTGTAGTGGGTCCTCTGAGAGTTACAGGTGTGAACCAACCATGGATCATGACCCCAAAGAAGTTACATTTAGAGGAAAGGTAAATCACACTATTAGAGAAGTACAGGTGATATGTTAAAGAAGTTCAAAGAAGAAAAGAATATTTTAAACTGAGAGCATAAAGGAGGCGGTTCATAGAATAAGTGGCATGAGAGCTGGGCTTTAAATACAATTAATAAGAGATATACCACCATGATTGGTGAGTCAGTGTTGTTTCCCCTGCGATCAGTCACAATTAGCAGAAATAGGATTTATTAGTGTGATTAGAGTACGGGGTTTTTCAAAAGAAATGTACGGACACGTGATCTTGAAGGACCAGCCCTTTAATTTACACTGCATATCATCTCCCCAATCGCCTCCAGTCATCATCACGTTACTATCCCAAAGCTGAGAAACCAGATTCAGATACAGGGTACCAGCATAATTTTCCAGTACTCCTTTACAAATCCTGGGTCATCCCAGGTAAACTGAACCACTGTATTTTGTCTATCTTAAAATACTTTTTAAATACTGTGAAGAAGCCACTGCATGTGGCTGGCCAGTCAGTCCTGGCTTTGGCTGGGAGGTTCACCAGGGCGGTCAGCCAGGAGCCTCAGTTGCTCTCCACATAGGCTTCTCCACAGGGCTGTGGGGAGAAGCATCATCACACTATGGCAGCTGTGTTACAAGAGGAAGTGAAGAGACAGGAAGTGGAAGCTGCAAACTCAAGCTGGGTCTTGGCAGTGGTTCTGATAGGCATTGAGCCTGCCTAGACTCAAAGGGAGAGGATACAGAGGATCGTGAAAAAATTGGTGGCCATTTTTAATACGTAGCAGGGCAGAGTTTAGATTTCTGCCCCCCTTACTCAAATCAGTTAAGGTATTGCTTTAAAAGTTTTGTCAGGAGTGTAGAACTCAAGTAAACTAGAGTAGTTTCAGATGACTCAAGTACTACTCTAGGTAGATATTAATTCAGTAGTCATTCTATAAAAGGCGTTGTACTTATGAAATTGGGTTTTAAAAACTACCCACCCTCAACTCCTTATTATCTGTAAAAAGCTTATTTGAATGGTTACTTATCCTCAGTAAAGATGGCTCTTACATATTTGCTGTCATTGCATATTCTTAAGTTCTTTGTTGATATTGCAGTTTCTGTTTATTCTTACAACTTAGATGCAATCTGAGAAAGCAGGAAAGACCTTTTAAAAATAAAACAATTACTTCCCAGATTCCAGAGAAAGTGTAAGTCAAATGGACAGTTAATTAAAGGGAGCACACAATGCCATTTAGACCATATTTGATGGTGCCAATCTCCAGCATAAAGTCAAAAGTGGAGAAAAGTTCAGTAAGGAAAAAACTATGGTGTTTGTGGAAGACATTGTTTTATTTAGTCTTCAAGCCATTCCCTTTATTTGGTTTGAAATGCATTGTAGTAAGTCAGCTAATATTAAATACTATGTCAGGCAGTAGATATAAAATAAGTACATTCTTAAAATGTGTAATATGCTCAAACTAAATAGAAAAAAACCAGATTCTTAAATATAGAGAACTTTTTTTTTCTCCTGATACTTTTGAATTAAGAAATACTGAATTTTATTACTAGGCATGCTTGTGATTACCCAGCTTGGTTATTAGAAATAAGGTATTTTATCCAAGAACAGAAATCCTTTGGTTGTCATGGAGAATCTTGAATACAAAAAGAGCCTTTAATGACGTATCTTCAACACATTTGGCAATTAGCTTAAGGTAGTTTACTGACATTTGTGGGAGGAGATGAATCAGCTAGGCCCTTAATGCCAAAAATACTGAAGTTGCTCTGACTCAACTCACTTAAGATGAGCTACAGAGGCTGCAGTGCAAAGTTAAATATCCAAGTAGGGCAGCTCATTTTGCACAATGGGAACCATACCATCCACAGGCACTCAGCTCCTCACCCACAGTCACCTCCTTAAAGGCCTCTGGCTCCAAGGAGGATTTGATGGCAGTGAGGGAATGTGTCAGCAGTGTACCTCCCTCCTAACAGAAAGGCAACCCAAAGAGCATATCCCATTAACACTAGATCAGCATCATCTACTTGTCAAAAGCATTCCATGAATTATGGGCCGAATTTTATTTATGGTAGAGTTAGACACCTTAGAAAATTAGAATTTTAATTTATTAGCTGGAAAAGTTGAGAAGTTCTCTGGACTCATTTTTTAGGTAGAATCTAAGTGATCTGGATCATTGCCCACCAGTGAAATTGCTGGGCATGGTAGACAAAGAAGATGTTCCTTCTAATGATTTTTATGAGCTGAGTAGCTATTGTTCCCAGCTGAGTGCTCTTTTCCTTTTTTTATTGTTGCTGAGCAAAAGACTTTATAAAAAGCTTTTTTTTTTTTTATTAAAAACCCTGCTCAATTGAAATGCAAGTTCATTAAGTACTATTCATTTCTCTTCCTGCCATAATAACCCTTTCCCCCTCTGCTCAATTCAATAGTGCCTAGCAGCACTGGTCAACATTTTAAGTCTGAACAGACTATAATAGAGATATGCAGTCTCCAACATCAAGAGAGTTTTATTTCACATGGGCATAATATGATCATTCACCCTAGATGTCAGCTGTAAATTTCACATAAGTACCTCAGCTTAGAGGGGGAAGATGCCCCTGGAAAGTTAAATCAACAGTGGGAAACTTAATTCAGTTTTGACAAGATGAAAATCACAATGAAATAATAGTTCAATATTGACATCTAAGCTGTAGTGCTAAAGACTAAGAAATTGGAATCAGCTTGTTATCAGAAGTCCAAGAGATTTTATTAATAATAGCTAATACTTGAGCACCTTGTGCCAAGCACCCTACCTACATTATCTTTTAATTTTCACAGTACCCCTAAGAGATAGGTACTATTTATATCCCCATTTTACAGATGAAGAAAGAAAGGTAATGTCTGAGGAGTTTAGGGACTTTGCCAAAATTATGTAATTAATAAGTAGTGGGACTAGGATCCAAATCCAGTTTGGCTTGACTCTGAAGCACATACTGTTTACCTTTACATTATACTGCACTAATTCTAGACATGTGGGAATCATTGTAAAACGAAGGGGTTTGCCTGGCCCGGTACTCATTCTTTGATAACACTGAACGTCGGGTTATAGATTGTAAAATGTTTATGGAAGGGTCATGTCATTTGGCACTATGAACAAGGACTGCCTAATGGCTTGAATTCTGCCCTAGAAGCTTATAATGCCCATCCAGCTGTACATAGCGAAAGTTCACTTGTAGAGTTTAGCAGCGTTGGTTTCTCTGCCTTGAGTGGGGATTGATAAAACTTGGAAGAGATTTTATTTGAAACTTTCATGGGCAAAAACTTCCTAGGAAAAGATCTAGAGCAAAGTTCAGAAGACGGCTCGTGAAACTGAAGCAGCAGACCTTGGGAGAGAAATGAAGCAATTGCTCAGTATAATAAAGATGAGAATAAGAAGGCTGAATTTATTGAAAGGAACAGAGAGGTAGTGAAAAAATTAAGGGTAACAAGAGAGACAGCTGAACCAAGAAGAGATCATGTACAGCATTTGAAAGAGAACTGCCAGTGCTCAGTAGAATTTTTCAAAATCACTTTCCAATATTCCCAACTGTGGACTGGGTTATTTGTTCATGCCATGCTTTTATGCCAGATTCCAGAATTACATTTTGCACAGTTAAAGCTTGTCTAGTAGAACCCATAGATCTTTAGTCGCCCATCTAAGAATGTGTCTTAAGATTATCACTTGATTTTCTGGAGTCCATCAAAATCCTAAAGGAGAACACTGGCAGCAACCTCTTCGACCTCAGCCGCAGCAAGTTCTTCCTAGAAACATCACCAAAGGAAAGGGAAGCAAGGGCATAAATGAACTATTGGGACTTCATCAAGATAAAAGCTTTTGCACAGCAAAAGAAACAGTCAACAAAACCAAAAGACAACCGACAAAATGGGAGAAGATATTTGCAAATGACATACCAGATAAAGGGCTAGTATCCAAAATCTATAAAGAACTTATCAAACTCAACACCCAAAGGACAAAGAATCCAATCAAGAAATGGGCAGAAGACATGAACAGACATTTTTCCAAAGAAGACATCCAAATGGCCAAGAGACACATGAAAAAGTGCTCAACATCGCTCAGCATCAGGGAAATCCAAATCAAAACCTCAATGAGATACCACCTCACACCAGTCAGAATGGCTAAAATTAACAAGTCAGGAAACGACAGATGTTGGCGGGGATGTGGAGAAAGGGGAACCCTCCTACACTGTTGGTGAGAATGCAAGCTGGTGCAGCCACTCTGGAAAACAGTATGGAGGTTCCTCAAAAATTTGAAAATAGAGCTACCATACGATCCAGCAATTGCACTACTGGGTATTTACCCCAAAGATACAAATGTAGGGATCCAAAGGGGTACGTGCACCCTGATGTTTATAGCAGCAATGTCCGCAATAGCCAAACTGTGGAAAGAGCCAAGATGTCCATCGACAGATGAATGGATAAAGAAGAAGTGGTATATACATACAATGGAATATTATGCAGCCATCAAAAGGAATGAGATCTTGGGGCGCCTGGGTGGCTCGGTTGGTTAAGCGACTGCCTTCGGCTCAGGTCATGATCCTGGAGTCCCAGGATCGAGTCCCGCATCGGGCTCCCTGCTCGGCAGGGAGTCTGCTTCTCCCTCTGACCCTCTTCCCTCTCATGCTCTCTGTCTCTCATTCTCTCTCTCTCAAATAAATAAATCTTCAAAAAAAAAAAAAGGAATGAGATCTTGCCATTTGCAACGATGTGGATGGAACTGGAGGGTGTTATGCTGAGCGAAATTGGTCAATCAGAGAAAGACATGTATCATGACCTCACTGATATGAGGAATTCTTAATCTCAGGAAACAAACTGAGGGTTGCTGGAGTGGGGGGTGGGGTGGGAGGGATGGGGTGGCTGGGTGATAGACATTGGGGAGGGTATGTGCTATGGGGAGCGCTGTGAATTGTGCAAGACTGTTGAATCACAGATCTGTACCTCTGAAACAAATAATACAATATATGTTAAAAAAAAGAAGAAGAAGATAGCAGGAGGGGAAGAATGAAGGGGGGGAAATTGGAGGGGGAGACGAGCCATGAGAGATGGTGGACTCTGAAAAACAAACTGAGGGTTCTAGAGGGGAGGGGGGTGGGAGGATGGGTTAGCCTGGTGGTGGGTATTAAAGAGGGCACGTTCTGCATGGAGCACTGGGTGTTATGCACAAACAATGAATCATGAAACACTATATCAAAAACTAATGATGTAATGTATGGTGATTAACATAACAGTAAAAAAGAATTTTAGGGACGCCTGGGTGGCTCAGTCGGTTAAGCGACTGTCTCCAGCTCAGGTCATGATCCCAGGGTCCTGGGATCGAGTCCCGCATCGGGCTCCTTGCTCAGCAGGGAGCCTGCTTCTCCCTCTGCCTGCAGCTCCCCCTGCTTGTACTCTTGCTCACTCTTTCTCGCCTATGCTCTCTCTCTCTCTAGCAAATCAATCAATCAATCAATCAATCTTAAAAAAAATTTTTTTTTCTTTTTTTTTTTATGATTTTATTTATTTGCGAGAGAGAGAATGAGAGACAGAGAGCATGAAAGGGAGGAGGGTCAGAGGGAGAAGCAGACTCCCTGCTGAGCAGGGAGCCTGATGTGGGACTCGGTCCCGGGACTCCAGGATCATGACCTGAGCCGAAGGCAGTCGCCTAACCAACTGAGCCACCCAGGCACCCCCCAAAAAAATTTTTTAAATGATATATTTTACAAAAAAAAAGATTATCACTTAATTTTCTATGCTCTCAGCTGCTCTAATCAAACGGTGAAAAGGTTTCTAACTGCCAGAGATTTATAACTCTGCATAACTATAATATTCATAGCTGATTTGTGAGTTTCTTGAATGTTAGATACACCTATATTCACAAATAAGTGCATTCCAAAGCCAGCTCCATGATCTTTCCATCTATCTACTCTTAGATTACCAGGGCCTTTGCTCTTTCCTTCTGTAAATGTGGATAATCAAGAGTTGACTTTAGAAGTGTTTACATCTTGGCTTCTATGCCTCTGGAGTGGGATGAAATTATCTAATAATGTTTGTCCTGTGGTGGTGAGATGTCAGACATCTGCATTGTCAGCATCTCTGAGGCTGTCCTGGAACGTTGCAGAGCGCGGTGTGGGGGA